AAAACCTTATGGTTAATTTAGACCCCAGGCTCTGAATTATGTTCTTTTGACAATTATCTATTTTTTATTTTCTTAGTTGTTTTCTATAGTTGTTTTTCACATTTCATGTAAATTTTCTTGTATGAGCAAATAAAATTGTATTGTATTGTATTGTATTGTATTGTATTGTATTGTATTGTATTGTCATAAGACTGACACAGCTCGATATCATGATGGTCACGTGAGACATACAAATAATAATATGTAGTAATATATATATATATATGTATTTCAAATAAAATATCTAATTCCCACAATATAAATATATTCCCACAATACAGTGGAAAAATTAGCTGGCGCTAAAAAAACTATTCGAAAAAACGAAATGAAGTTTCAAGTTTCATCCAATTTCTATTTTGTTGATTTTAGCTTGTCATTTTGCATCAAGCTGTATCAGTAATCACGAGTTTGGAATCCCAAGTTAGAGGTGAGTACCGATGTACAACAAGCTGTCTTCCTTCCTCCCTCCCTTCCTCCCTCCCTGTCCTTTCTTTCTTCCTTCCTTCCTTCCTTCCTTCCCTCCTTCCTTCCTTCCTTCTTGTTTATCTTTTGTTTCCTTTTAATGCTCTCTTTTCCTGTTTGTTGGTTGTCCTAGAACGGAATCTAAATCCCAAAGCCGCCTGCTTAAAACGAAGAGAAGAAGAAAAAGTCGAAGAGGAGTCTCCCGAGAAGCGAGCAGTTCCAGGTGTAGACAAACCGTTTGATAACAATGCTGTCCGTGGAAGAGGCGGTCGCCGAGGAAGGCGATCTTCAAGAGGTTAGCTACTTAGTTATGGAATTCATCTCACACAACTTCTAGTGTGCTGCGCTCGTGGCTCCACTTGAGTTTGTATCACATGCCGACACCATTCTATGTTCAATAAGAGTCAAACCATAGAAAAGGGACCTCGATTTCCAAATTAACCTAATTTGTTGGTGCCATTCGTGTCATTCTCTTGAGAGTAAGATTCTTCAAGTTTGAGTTGTATCCATGTTCATGTGTCTTCTGATGCACCACTGTTAAACAAAGAAATGATACTCTAGGGAATGACACGTGGTCGGTACTGGGAAAACATTGCACCACAACGATTATGGTTTAATGTATGATAAATGTAACAAAACAGACATGTTAAGAATAAGCCTTTTCATAGTTTAAGAATCGATTCCACTGCGCATGCGATTTTATCCCGAATTTCTCACCTTCTTTTGTCTAAACCTTTTGTTCTTAATTAAACAAAAGAAGGTGAGAAATTCGGATAAAATCGCATGCGCAGTGGAATCGATTCTTAAACTATTAAAAGCTTATTGCTTGGGCGTTTTTACGCATGCGCGATGTTTCGGTCCCCTCGAAGGACTTGAGATACCTGTGGTAGACGTGATGCATATACGTGATGTATATACAACATTAACATAATATTTTTCTATTTCAGATTCATTAGAGTTTTAGATTTTTATCTTGTATGGTACTTTAAAAGAGGTGAGTTAATGATTAGAATAATATACTGTTTGGCAATGACGCATGCGTGAATGGCCGCGTAAAATACGTGACAATTATGTTATCGAACTTAGATAAGTTTTCGCATGACTACCGTGAAAAGCTCAGTGGTGTGAGCGTGCCGTGACCACGATATTTTCTAGAATTTTAATTGCCTGGTTTTTTTTTTTTTTCTCGTGCAGTGATCTAAAATGAAACTATTTTTAGTTGGGCTTGTCCTCAAAGATTTCCATTTTGTTTTACAACGAAGAATCAATCCTAAAATGAAGTTGAATGCCATTTTAGACTCTAAAACTTGCACCAAAGTTGTCGTAAAGAAGGCAGAAAGAGACCTTTATTTACATAATCTTGATCGTTAATCCTTGCCTTTGTAGCCGTCAATGCATTGAAAAACACGCCTGATAATCTCTTTAGCTGTTGAACAGATTGCCTTTTTTGTCTTATGTTGTTTTTGTGCAAAAAGAGGTAAACTTTCGAAATTTTCTAGAGTAAAATCAGGTATTGTTTTGTAGAACGTTATGTCATCTGTGTCTTAACATAGCTGTCAGCCAATCAGAATGTGTTATTTAACGTGAGATGTTGTAAAAAATACACTCAATTGAAGAATCGTTGTCGGGTTCAGAAACATAGAACATAAAAGCTGAGATCGAAATAGCACATGGGAAATGACATAATTATATTATAATTTATTCATTTGCGGCATCCATGCAGTCAGTTTAGAATGCCAAACGCGTATTAAAAACAGTGGATGATGCCACGGGTCGCCGGTCACAGCATGCATCTAATTAACGTACTTCCCATGTGTCATTTCGGTCTCATGTTCTATGTTTCTGAACCCGACAACGATTCTTCAATTGAGTGTATACGTATGTCTAACTGATGGAATCTGCAGTCAAAGTTCCATCCATCCCTCCATCATTCCTTTTAACCCATTTATTCGTTCTTTTATTTTCCCACAGAAAAAAAAAGATCCCTATACGAAGAAGATGGTTTATATCTGGACTTATACTATAAAACTGTGCCTCACGATGGAATCTAACAAAACATTGCAAAAAGGTCCAAGGCACAGCCTTTCTACACCAGGAAAGTTCTACTCCATAAACTATCATATTTCTATTAAGCTCAATATTGGATGATAATTCAAATTAAACGTAAGTTAACTATCAGATGTAAGGGATCTAATGTATCTAATATATCTATGTGAATGTTAGATATAGGCATCTGTCGAGGTGACGTCACCATTTGTGACGTCATCCATTTCTCTTAGTAAACTTCTCTAAGTGTAGTGCGTTAAGGATAAAAGGAATTTGTAATACCTTGTGCTCTAGAAGATTGTGTGATGAAAAAAGGTTTAGATCTTAACCTAAACTCAAATTGATAGAATCTGCCGAAAGGGTTATCCCATAATTTCTTTTGGGCAGATGGAGCTGACGTCATCGTGCTCCATAGGGAAATTCCCGCTTCCCGTCATGCCCTTCGAGGTTACTTTCACGTCACACAAATACTGGTCATCCCCAGAAATCAAGTCATTCATGTAACAGGTCCCTCAGAGATAGGTTTGCCATTTTAGATAGGATATCATCGATGGTTCATCAACGTTTTTCATCAATAGTCCCCTTCACAGTTCCCTGCGCCATCTTGAAAGGTAACCGTGCCTTTGCATCGAAGCGAGACGAACGGTGAGCATGCAATGATAGGGACCTTTTTTTATCACCTTGGACAATTATTCACATGTCTCAATCTTTGCAAGCTCACCGTTTTTCTCGCTTCGATGCAAATGCATGGTTGCCTTTCAAGACGGCGCAGAGAACGTGAAGGGGGACTATTAGTCGCACTTGCACTATGATAGTTCTCTAACATTGCAGTCGTATAGGAAGGATACATGACTACAAACATGGTKACCTACTAGGACGACGGCCTTCAAGATAATATTTTTATTAGGTCGAGTGATCTCCTACATATAAGATGTTCCAAAAATGTTTGTTTAGCGATGTTAATCCATTGTGAAAAGTCATAACTCGAACTCTGACTAAATTTTCAAACTCATTTACTTAACGTAACCTCGACTGATATTTCTTACATTCGAAGATGAATTATGACATCTTGTTGACAATACGTTGTCGCGATGACTCTTGTTTAAAATCATTTAAAAGCCAAAAGTAGAAAGCAAACTAAAAATTAAATACTACAATCTTAGAATTTTTTTTTTTTTTTTT